TAGCCACTGTTTAAAGTACTTTCCACATACTGCTCCATTTAATACACACAACAATCTTGTAAAAGAATACCACAAGCCCATTTTACAGACAGGAAAACTGACGCTAAGGGAAGTTAAAGTAATTTGCCCACGGTCAGGCACTAGGTGGTAGAGTCACCATGTACACGAAGATTCCAGAGACAGCCTCCTTCAAATGACTGACAAGAACAAAAAAAGATACCCAACAAGTGTGTGCAAAAGTACAGATTAAACAAGGTTAAACCTGTTTACTGTCTGTATTCTCACTTTCAAAATGCCAATGTATATTATATATCTAAAAGGCCAGAGAATATAGTTTTTCCTGAATGTATCTGGCCACAGAGCACACTCCCCTCAGAATATATAATCCACATTCTTTCATTACAAAGTTAAAATGTTTAAATGCCCCATCTTAATCCATTTCTCTTTTCCACACACTGGCAAACTAAAAATACTTCAAACTGCGCTGTCCAATGTGGTAGTCACTAGTCAAAAGAAACTATGTCATTAAGAATTTAAAAAATAAAAAAATGCAGCGCCTCAGTCACACTGGCCACATTTCAAATCTTGAAGGGTCTGAAAATTTGACCCTTGTTTCAAGGGTCACACATGACTAACGGCTACCATATTGTACAGCACAGACAGAACAGTTCTATCAGCGGAGGGAGCTGCATTGGACAGCACGGGGGTAAAGTTTTATTTCTGTTTTTTTAAAAAACAGTCCTGGGCAATCTTCTGAGCAGCACCTTGTGAATTATTATACGTGTAATTACCACAACCCTAACATAAAAGGGGGCTAAGTCAGAAACTCCTAACAGGGTTAGCTACTGCCACTCTGACACCAAGGCACAGGGGGAAAGGAAAGCAGAGAAGCAGCAGAATGAATTGCAAAAAATAAGCTTCATGGTGGGGGGGGAGAGTGAGGGGAAGATGAAGCTTGATGGGATTCAGTAAAGCTGGGTTCTACTCCCTATGATGCCGATGATTCATTCTAAAATTTTTGCACTTGCTACTAATTAACTGACTTGAGCAAACAAGTCTCTTCACTACTTTGGGCCTCAGTTTCCTCTTCTACAACACAAACTTGAACTGGATGATCTCTAAGATTCCCTCTAATTCTGTACAACTGAAAGATACACATGCTAAGGTGAGAAATAAAGGTAAAAATAAAAGGGACCATTGCATATAGGTAGTGCAAACTCTTGTCAGCTTGGCACAAGTCTGAGAATAAAATTTGGAAAACACCACCAAAAAAAAAAAAGAGGTTTAATTCAATTAAGTAAATACTTATGGGGGGCAAATATTTGCAATTAACGGTGCTATTTAAAAGCAGCACCAAAAATACTGATCAGTCCTAAATACGTGTTAGAAATCCGAGACTCTCCAAACTTCAGACTGACAGGCTGGCTCCTGAGCATAAAGTAACCAAACTGCCCGAGTACTCGGAAACAAAAGTAACCGAAAATCTTCTTGAGCAGCTGCAACTAACCATAAAATCCTATACAATGTACAAACACTTGGCATAAACAAAATTCGCACCTGCATTTCCTCTACAGAGAATCTAAACAAATGTTTCAGGTACTCGGAGGAGGAAGGCACCAATTTTGGCCCACCTCATTTCTTCAGCACCCACATTTAATTAAGTAATCCTACATCCCCTGGGTTAAACCCCTGACCGTAGCAAGGGTTAGGAGCGCTAACTACACTCTCAACTTCGGCCGTGCCAGACAGAACAAAACGTCACTGGAATTCCTGCCTCCACCACCTACTACTGCGCGCTTCCCACTTCCCAGACACAGTGTTGGCCCCACTTCCCAGGAGCCGGAGGGGGAGAGAACCGCCCACCCCTTTCCTGAGCATCAAGATTTAAAATTAAAACAAACAAACAACAACAGAGATGTCTTTACTCCGGATTTCAAACAAACAAATAAGTAAAAAAAAAAAAAAAAAAGATACAGGGCATGGGATACTTTGTGCTCTGCAGAAGCCACGGCAACCTCCATCAAAAAATCAAACTGATTTAAACCTGAACCACATCCGCGAGCTGCTGGACCGCAAGGAGTGGATATTAAAGTCTTCCATCAAGGCAGACGGGAGGGGAACCTCTTAGCAACGAGCCTTGACTTTTAAAAAAGGCGGTTCTGGGCACCCCACCTCCCAGGCCCTCGGCCAGGCCCGCGCCGGCGGCTCCGCGAGCCACCGCGGGTGCAGGCCGGGGGCCGGGGGGGCCGGGGTGGGGGGCGAGGGGTGCGGGGGGCCGCCGGGCCGGGCCGGGCGCTGACAGCTCGGCCTCGGCGCGCAGCCCCCGGCGGGCGAGGGCGCGTCGGGGGCCCCTCGCCCCGAGTCCGCCGGCGCCGCCGAGCCCGGCCCTCCCCGCGCCGAGGGGCCGCCGCCCGCTCACCTCTCTTGGGGGCCTTGCCCGGCGGCCCCCCGCCGGCGCTCCCGCCGTTCTCCTGCTTGTCCTTGCGGGCGGGCGCGCCGGGGCCGCCGTCGCCGCGGTGGTGGTGGTGCCGGTGCCGCTCGCGGTGGCCCTTGTGCTTGGGCCCGGCCGCGCTCACCGTCAGCGGCGAGAAGGTGAAGAGGGCCGCGGCGCCCGGGGCCGGGAGCGCGGCGGCCACGGCGGGCCCGGCGGGCGCCAGCGAGGGCGGCGGCGGCGGCGGCAGGAGCAGCGGCTCCACCGGGCCGGGGCCGGGGCCGGGGCCGGGGCCGGCCGGGGCTGCGCTCGCCGGCGGCGGCGGCCCGGGGTGCTGGCGGCTGCGGCGCCGCCGGTGAGGGGGAGCGAGCGGGGGGTCCTGGCTCGGCCGCCCCCGCTTCTCCTGGGCGCCCCCGCTGCTCGCCCGGCGCTGCCGCTTCACGCCCCGCGGCGAGACCCCCACATGGGGCTTCTCCTTCCCCTCTTTGTCCGGCTCCTCCGGCGCCGCCACCGCCCGTACTACGCGCACCGCTCCGACCTGCGCAGCCATTTCACCCACAAACACACATTTAAATGGCCCGACCGCCCCCCCGTCCGCGCACCGCGCATGCGCCGCCCGCGCACGGCCCGCTGGGCATTGGAGTCTCGCCCCCGCCCTCCGCTTCCCGGCCGGGCTCCCTCCGGCGCGGAACATGCCGGAAGGGGCCGTCCCCAGCGCCGCTCCGCCGCCCTCGCCAACCGCGCTCTGCGGAGAAGCGCCGCGGGCCGCGCAGAGCTTCATGGGAGTTGTAGTTCGCCCGCACCGCCCGCCGGGCCCGGGCCGCCGACGGGCGGCGCCGCGAGCGAGCGTGCGCCGAGTCACGCTCCGGGCCGCGACGCAACCGCCTCTGGGCGGAGAGTTGCCACCAACGGCCCTAACGGCTGAAACAATGTCAGCGGCTCTCGGCGGCTCTCGGCGCGTTCCGCGTGTCGTCTTCGGGTGGGCCTTCGTCACGTTCCACGGAGTAGGTGGTCTCCATAGTTACTTTCCAATTTCCTGTTCGCCCCTGACCTCTGTGAGGTAAAAGACTCTCCAGCGTTTTGCGCCCGCACTTCATCGGCCGTGAAAGGAAGAGGAAGGAGGAATTTTAGGAGACGGTGATGGGAGGACGACGTGGGTCCGCCGTCGGAGGGGGCTGTAAATCGCGAGGAATTTGGGCCCCTCGTCGCGGCCGTTGCCATGGTTACAGCGGCGGGCGGGGCCGGGCAGGTGCGAGGGGGAGGGGAGCGCCCGGCTCACCTGCCCGCTCACCTGCCCGCTTACCTGCCCGCTCACCTGCTCGCCCTCAGGTGCCCGCCAGGGTGGGGACCGCCTGGCTCTGAGGGCGTCCCGAGGGGCGAGTGCTGGACGGGAAGCCCGGGTCACGCTTTCCCAGCCAGACCTTTTTTCCAGATCTCACGTGGAAGGTTTCGTAAATCTGAGAAGCGGGTCTAGCAGAAAACACGCCCAAAACCATCAGGCAGGGTTCCCGCTCGGAAATCCACGTGCAGTGTTTCATCCACGACCCAAGGCCTCCCTGAGATCCTTTTCATCTGTAAGGTCCTCGAGAGAGAGACTTGGAAGTAACTGATGGAGTGAAGGACTCGGGGTAGACGCCAGTGGGTGGATCCCACTAGTGTCTGGAGACGTGTCCCGCTAAGTGAACGCTCAAGTTAGTGAGAGAGAAGGAAAAAATAAAAATAAAACGTTTATTGAGCCCCCGTGGGATACGCTGTGCTGCGATAAGCAGGTGACTGTTGCATCCAGGAGCCCTGGCAGTGAGAATTCCTAATGAGAAACACTGAAGAGCAAATGCGGTTTATTTCATGCTCCTAAGAATTAGGAAATTTTGATAAAGAGTTAGGTGGGGGAACTCTGGAATGCTTTGTAAAAAATATTAAGTTATTTGTTGCATAAGATTAAGTTGGAAACATCAGATTTTAAGGCCGATTCCATATACACACTGATTGTTTTTAACTGCTAGCACCCTGATTGGATAGATGTGCGTGTTTAGAGTGGACCTTGGAAATGACGAAAATGCTACCAAAAGGTTTGGTTCATTATTTGTCTAAAATTGATAATCGAATAACTGGCTGAAACTTTAAAAGATTGCATTGAACATCTTGTTGGTGTATCCAAATGAAAGAAAAAAAAAAAAAGACTGTCATTCTTTGTATATCCTCTTAAATATAACTTCTTTTCATACCAACTTTGAAGATGTGGAGGGATATTCTCCACTGAGGCAAAAATAACTCCCAGGGAATAGTCACTGCCAAAAGCAATAATTTTATACTGCAACCACAATATAAGATTTTTAAAAACACTTTTTATAGTAAGTTGTGACAATTTCCACAATTAATAGTAATATCCAATTAATATCCAATTCTTTCACAACTTTTGAAAGATTGTATCTATGTAGAAGAGCAGAGTAAAATTCATTTCCAAAAATGAAAACTCCACTCCAAAACTGTTTCTCATCCAGTATTCTTTACATAAGCTCAAGTGAGCTTTTATTTTCAGTTTCCAACCCAAAGTAAATGTGGTGAAAATATAAAACTTCTGGCACTTATTTCCATAATGCTTTTCCTTTAAAAAGCTATTACCACATTATCATATCTTCATTGTTGATATTTGTCTATAGAGAACTTGTTTTAGCTATCAGTATTCTAGTAGTTTTAGTTGCAGATGCACTTGCAATCTGTATTCCAAATTGTGTTAAACATTCCAAGTTGCTGGTGGTTTCCTTGGTCCTTTGGGTTTTGAAAAACGATTTGCAAAACCTGGGAACAAAAATAAAATTGAATTTAAAAACAGATTTTTTAATGGATATGAATATTTGGATTTAGAGTATATTATACAAATACATGGATTTTTTTCTAAAGGCTAAGCAGCATCTTTGATCAATGTAGTAATAGCTTATAAAGGAATTTGGTAATTAAATTAAAGCTTAAATGATAATAGAAACTAAAAATATTATAAATTTGTAAAGCACTTACAAATTTATTAGTTGTAATAATTATGTAAAGAACCCTGATTATGATAGCCTTTGAAAATTCAGCACATAGTATCCTTTTTTCAGCTATATTAAAATACTGCTGGGCCTCCCCGGTGGTGCAGCGGTAGAGCCCTGGGTTGCGAAGCTGCCCGCGGCCTCTGCGGCGCTGGTTCAATCCCCGGCTGCTCCCCGGCCACCGGAGGAGGGTCCCACATGGCGCGCAGACCTCTCCTGCCTCCCGCTGCTCCCCTCAGCAGTGTACTTCGGTCCTTCTGCCTGCTCTACTCCCTGCTCTGGCTCTGGTGAATTCTCTCACCCTCCTGCGCTTCTGACTGTACCCAGTGCATGTATAAACAAAACAAACAAATAAATAAATAAATAAAACATGCCTCTATTAAAAAAAATAAAATAAAATACTGCTGACATATGAAATATTTTGAGTTTGAGGTGTACAACATGATGACTTGATACATCTGTATATTGTGAAATAATTACCACATTAAGGGGTAGTTAACACCTCCATTTCCTTATGTAATTACCATTTTTTGTGTGGTGATTACGTTTAAGAGCTACTCTCTTAAAAACTTGCAAGTATATATAATAGAATTCTATATATAATAGAATACTGCCAATTCTAGTGACCCTGTTGTACATCAGATCCTCGGGACTTAGTGGTGTCATAGCAGAAAGCTTGGGCCCTTTCACCAGTATCTCCCCTTTTTCTCCAGCCTCAGCCCCTTCTACTAGAACTACTCCAGCCTTTTTAGATTCCACTCGTGGGACTATACAGTATTTGTATTTCTCTGACTGACTGATTTCACTTAACATAATGTCTTGAAGCTCTACCATGTTGTTGTAAAAGGCAGAATTTTCTTCTTTTTGTGGCAAAATAATATTCCATTGTGTTCTATATGTGTGTATGTATGTATATGACAGATGTCCCTGAAAGAGGGAGTTAGAGGCACCAAAAATCCACCCTCCCATTGAAAATCCAGATAGAGCTTTTGACTCCCAAAAAACTCTACTAGTCGTCTGTTGTTGACTGGAAAGCCTTACCATAACATAAACAGTTGGATAACACTATTTTGTATGTTATATGTGTTATATACTATATTCTTAAAATAATTAAAGAAAAAATGTTATTAAAATCCTAGGGAAGAGAAAATACATTTATAGTACTATATTTACTTAATCCTAAATTTTATCGTCTGTTTACCAGAATATCTGTAAAAGTGGGCCTGTACAGTTCAAACCCATGTTGGTTGTTGAAGGGTTGTGTGTGTGTGTGTGTGTGTGTGTGTGTGTGTGTACACCCGCATATTCCATTCATCTATCAATGGGCACTTAGGTTGTTTCCATGTTTTGGATATTTTAAATAATACTGCAATTGAACATGGAGTAACATATAATTCTTCAGAGAGAGTGACTTCATTTCCGTCAGCTATAGATCCAGAAGTGAAATTTCTGGATCATATGGTAGCTTTATTTTTAATTTTCTGCAGACCCGCCATACTGTTTTCCATAGAGAATATACCAATTTACATTCCCACCAACAGTGCACAGAGTCCCCTTTCTTCACAGCCTCCCACAACACCTGTTAGCTCTTGTCTTTTTTATAATGGTGATTATAATGTGGGGTCATATCTCATTGTGGTTTTGATTTGCATTTCCCTAGTGACTAGTGTTAGTGAATATTTTTTCATTTACCTGTTCACCATTTATGTCTTTTTGGAAAAATGTCCCTTTTAAGTCCTTTACCCATTTCTAATTGGATTTGTAAAATAATATATTTTACCTACATCTTTTCACCTACCATCCATTCATGAAAATAATAAAACTGGGATATTTCAATTTCAAAAAATAAGCATCATTCACTTTATAAAATCATTGTATTAAATTCACTACTTTGTCCATGAAGCCCCATTTTACTAAGGTTTTGTTTGAAAAGCTTAGGGGGAAAAAAAAAGAAAAGCTTAGGGAAAAAATAACATCCAGAAAAACTAAGTAAACATTTTCTCCCTCTCTCTCAAACACTCCCTTCTACTCCCACTCCCGTCCTCAAAGAAGGAAGATGAAGAAATTTTATACAACCAGTGAAAACGATGTCTGGGTATGTTCAAAAAACCTGCAGTTACTACATTGATCCTTTACCACACCAGCAACTTCCTGCTTTCCTTTTTCTTTGATGAAGGTATATTTTCAAGGTACTCTTACACTTAATAATATTAGGGGTTCAAATTGATCAATGAAAGCTTTGAAATATAAAAACAGAACAGAGAATAGAAAACTCAGAGATAGTCCTAAACCTTAAACCTCATCACTTCACAAAGTAGTGTATATTATATACCTTATAGAACTGACAAAAGAATCACCTGAGGTATTTCTTTAAGTATCCAAATACAATGCCTGGCACATAGTAACTACTCAGGCGTTACTTAAGTCTGATCCACAAGAACACTACCAGAACTGGGGGAGAGAGAAGAGTAAGAAGACAGAAGCAAAAATCCATTAAAATTGAATCTATAAATGGTGATGGTAAAAAAAAAAAAATGGGGGAGAGAGCACACAGCCTCATTCATATACATTTTACTGGTGAAGAAAAAGGAGGAGCAGCAGGAGAAGGAGGAAGAGAAGAGAGAGGAGAGGAGGAAATGGAAGCAACCTACTGAAATGGAATAAAATATTTGCAAATCATGTATCTGGTCAAGGATTAATATCCAAACTACATAAAGAACTCTCAGAACTCATTAGCAAAAAAAAAAAAAAAATGGACCTGACTAGATATTTTCCCAAATCATATATACAAATATTGAATCATGTTGTACACCCAAAACTAATATATATCAATTCACCTCAATGTTAAGAATATAGAAGAAAAAACATTTCAGGTTAGTTTCACACAATTGTCACAAAATCATCCATTCAGTCCAGATAACTTGATTGTCACCAAGTGGACTGAAAATAGAAGAACATAATATTCGTCACATAGGAGGACTCCCTACACTCAATCTTTCTCACTGATCAATTCTCAATAGTCAGAACAGTAATGAATGATCTACCTTTTTGCATGTAAGGCTAATCAGGAAAGACATAAATGTTTATAAGCCACCCAATCTTTTCATTCTAATTTAAATACATTGCCTCTTCCTTTATGAAAGTGTGTCAATGAAAAAGTGCTACTTTCTTCATGGATCAAATAGTCAAATCGGTACATTTGAGAAGAAACAAGACGGATGCAGGTCTCTTAATATTTTACCCTTATATTAAGTCACACACTGCTGTAAAGTTAGATGGACCACGAGTTTTTCAAATAGCATCACTAATTGAGAGTAAAGAAGGAAACAGGCAACATTTGCATTCAAAGCAAAGTTTAGTGCTTTTTCCCTTAAGCTATGTAATATTCAATATATTTAAATTATTTCATAAGAATAGTAACTTTTTTAGAATCATAACATTTTAAACCTCAGAGTTAATGTACTCCAAATAAAATTTCATGGCCCAAGAAATAGATCCAGAGATTATAGTTAAGTATTTGCAAAGGTCGGATAGGACCCATAACCCAGATATGCGGAGATGGCTGCTTCTTCACAAGATCTTTCCTTGCTTCTTCAGGAACAGAATTCCGTACAGGCGGCTGTTTTCCTGGCAGGATTACATTTCCCCATCTCCCTGGGAGCTTAGAGCACTTGTCTCAGGCGCCTATGTGAGCCAAATTGATGTTGTCAATTTCAGGCCAGTGCTTTAAGGCCAGAAGAGGAAAATCATGCCTCTTCCACATTTTCTCTCACCTTCTTGGCACCTGCAATGTGGATGTGGGAGCAACCTAATTTTGACCATACAGATCAAGATGATACCATAAAGCAGCAGTTCCTAAGATGTGGTCACAGTCTACATTAATTGCATACTGCTTTTTTTGCCATGTGATAAAAGTCACTTTGATTACACACATTTCTCTGTTGAATTTATTTGTAATAAAAGGCTACTAGCATATTTAAAATAACATCGTTTTATTTTAAATGACCATATTCATGTAATAAAAGGCACACACAATTTGAGAGTTCTGTTGACATCTCTTGCATTTTGCTCCAGTGGCTCTGAAACTATTTTTGGATGAGATTTTCATTCTTTGCTTGGTGGTAAGATTTAAACATGTTTGCATCTGCAAAGGTCAGGTGACCCTGATTTTATGATTTCTTGGTGTGATCTGTGAAGAATTTCTGAAGATGCCTTCCTGTTTAGATAGGACACTTGTCTCAGTAAGTTGGAGAAATATTCAGGAAATTAGAATCTTTAAAAAATGACAAATTTTCTGACTTTTTTTTCCAACTCCAAGTATTCTCTTTGTGATTCCCGGCCCTGAGAACAGTGCAGAAGCAGTCACCTGCCCAGGAATGGGGCTGGCGCCGCCATCTTCTTGCTCCCCTCTGTCTGATTGCACACTTCTTACAAAGAATTACAGTGTTCATAACATCACCTTAACTAGTATGATTTTACATAATAAAGAATAATAGAATGCTTAAAATAAGATAAAATTATTAAGTTTATAGCTTATACTAGGGACAATTGAGCAAACAGTTCCTTTAAGCTGCCAGACTTGTACTTCAACTTGTACTGTTGAACAAGTTAGACAAGATTGAATAGCAACAACTGCTGCTCTTTTGATCCCAGTTGTGTATAACTTTGCTTAGATACAAACTAGAGTATCATGGCATTTCAGAATTTCTTCATCTGACTAGTCACATTTATTTACTACATATCAACATAGTCATTTGGTTTCCTAGCTTTATTTTCCACATATAGTAGGCAGTTCAGTCCTCTGTAAGATGTTAAGAGGACGCTAATGTCAAAAATAAAAAGACAAATTGCATGGAAAAGAATATATAAATACAATTATAGCTCAGATTTTAAAAGAACATAAATATCAGAACCTCTATGTGCAAACTTAAATCATATTTCAAGTGTAGCTTATACTGCAAACGAATAAAATAAATGAACTTTGCTAAAGTCTATAAACAATACACATACCAAAATTCAGAAAGGAGATGGAGTGATTTGACTGAACAGAGTCTGGAGGCTTGTTTGGAGGGGAAGAATTACAAATACCTAGAATCAAAAGAAGAAATGCAAGAGAGAGAATGAAGATAGGCTCAAATCTATCCAACCACATAATTTCTCCAAATTAATATTCCCAAACTAACATTTTCTTCAAAGTAATTATTCTTCCCAAATAAATATATCACTATCAAACAAAAATATAGATGCTTACGAATGGGGTCATCACTATAGTCTTTTATTTTTCTCTGTATTTTAAAAAAAATGTTGCTTTTCTTTGCAAAAATATTGTATAATAAAGCTCTGTTACATGTGACTCAACTTTTTGGGGGATTCACCTTTTGGCTTTGGATTTCATCTTACTGTACATCTGACCACTTTCGGTACTTTTAAATCATTTGTTCTTTCATTAGTTCATCCACAGCATTCATCTATAACTTTTCTTAACACTACCCTCTACTCTTGGGATGTCTCTCTTTCCTTTCTAGCTTACTTCTTTCCCATTACAGATATTTCTAGATAGTTCCAAAATTTCCCCAAAGTGATGTTATTTTGCTATTTTTAGCTACTTACAGATATATTTAAAAAGTACACTTTCTCTTCCCAGCACCTTAATGTAGTCATGTATCAGTTTCTGCCCCATTTTGAAAGTTGTCATTGAAAACACGGTCTACATTTTGCATAATTTTAGGTTTATATAATCTTTTTAAGAAACAGCATATAATTGGGAAATTATTAAATATTCACTTTTTTTTTGTCTTCAGCACTTTCAGAATGCAATGAGAGCATTGCATATGTATTTGTACACCTAATACCATGATTCCAGAAACACTTTCCCCTTCCTGAACATACTTGAGTATGAAACACTAAAAGTACATGGTAAATTTCAACCAAATTCAATAAAAATATATAATAATTGAATACTTACTATGTGCCAAGCATTAGGCCAGGCACTGAGGACAGAAAAACTAGTAAGATGTAGGTGAAAGTGAGAAATTTCAGAAGATATTAATCATCTCTAGACTGCATGTGAGCTGAGAGTCATATTCATCCCTCAGAAATAACACCGTAGAACCAAATATTGGTATTTGTATTTTACAATGAGAGATAAAAATACTGCAAATATATGTCAAAGGAAGCTCTATTTTGCATATTGACTTGTCATTGATATTTTTATGTTGCCTGCCCAGCATTAATTCCTCCTTCTTCTGAAAATTAAACTTGAATTTCTCTCTAGGAAGCCACTTTCCCCTGTTTGAAAGCTCCTGTTGAGCTGATTCTCGTCTTAAACCAAGGAACTAAACAAACCCTTAGATCAAGCCTTATGACTGGGACAGATTTTAGTACATTGGCATGGTTACATGGTTGTTCAGAGCTGATCCTTACAGGTCCACAGTGTCCACATATAGTAATTGTTCAATATTAGGTGTGAAGGAGTCTTATATTAATCAGCATATTAAGTATAATGGCAATAGCTGGTTCAGGCAAGAGCAAATGATTCAAGTCAAGATATCTGGACCCAATCAAAACTTGTCATGAGAATGTTGCTTGAGCAACTAGGAAAGAATTCATTTTTCCATTATAAGTCTGAAACCACATGGGTAAATGTCTGCCTGTGAGTGAGGTAAAGAGAGTATAACAAAGCCAGAAGATAGGAAATGAGAGATTAGATACTGATATCACTTAATCTCTTGGTTACAGGCCAAAAATATCTCCATTTTCTGCTTAAGCCAGCTCAAGTTGGGTTTTCTGTTACTTGCAGCTGAAGGATTTCTGAGCATTTAAAATTTTTACCAAAAGTAGGCTTCAAGCATGATTCAAGCTCTTGTCGCTCTGTAATTCATTTTCCATACTGCAGCCAGAATGATCTTTTATAAAATAGATCATGTAACCTCTCTGCCTAAAACTTTTCTATGACTTCCCTTTACATTTACAATAAACCGTGACCTACTTAACATGACCCATAAGGGTTTATCTACCTCCTCTTCCAACACTACTCTCTTTTCAGCCTCTCCTTAGTTCTCGCTCCTCTTGATTTGCCTACAATTATGTTAATTGTCTTTGAATTCCTATAACATACCAAACACACCTCAGAATTTTTGTACAAGCTATTCCCTCAATCTGGAGTGCTCTTCTCCCCATTCTTCTGGCTGGCTGCTCCAGCATGCTTCAGGTTTGTCATATCTCAGAAAGGGGTCCATCTCTTGGACCCCTGAGTATAAAACAGATTCCCTTTGCTGTCCTCCCTCATAATTATCTTCTTGGTTTCTTACATAGCATTTATCACAATGTGTGGCTATGTATATATTTGTGAATTTACTTTTTTAATGTCTGAATCTCTCACTAAAGTTCTCCAAAGGCAGAGCCCAGCATCTGTTCTGTTCATCAGCACATCCCCCATGCCCTGCAGAATGTCTGGTAGATGGCAAGCACTCAACAAACATTCATTACACAAATGAATAAATAAATGAATGTGTAACACTCTGCTTAGCTGCTGGCTTCAAATAACAGATGAAAAATCCTCAATTACATTAAAAGTAGGGTCAACTTTAATGATAGACCAGTAAGAAATTCAGAATAAAGACAGAACATAAGAAATACAGGAATCATGAACCATCTGGAAGGGGAAAAGGAAACAAATACAAGTATGGACAACTAAGTCTAAAGCTTCAGGGTCAACTTTGGAGGTCAGATATTATTCTTCATTTGAGGCCAAAAGGCCAAAAGAGGCAGGCAGCAAAGAAATAGAAATTAACTCAGATCTAGAGAATGACCTAAGCAGAGTCTCTGAGTTCCACCATATTTAAAATCTATGCCAACCTAAGTTTCTGTGTCTTTATTCACTATACCCAAGACAAAGTCGGTGCTAAAGAAAGAAAGCTTATGGTGTCTCATAAGCTAAGCTGGTCAATCTATGGCTGTCTAATCAAGTAACTAGTTCATTTGCTTTTGATGCTTTTGTTTCCCTTGTTTCATACTATAACTTCCTCCTGAAATGGTTAATTCTCTTTTACCTAATTTTGGAGTAAAAAGTAGAGTTTTCAATCATCCTTTCGCCATCACAGGTGAGAAATCAGTTCACTTCAAAAATTATGTGAATGGCAGGGAAGGCAGAGTGGGCTAGTTTATGAAGAGGGAGATAGAATGAAAACTCAGGAAATAAGGGTTAGTTATAATTCTCAGTTAGTTATTACTTAACATATTGTCAAGCTTTGTTAAGTTACCTGTTAAGTCAAATTTTCTCATTGCTCTTTGTCCCTCCTAAATCACCAGTGTAACTAAGTTGCTGTTTGGTCCTTGATTGGGCTAATTTTGTGTTAAAAAAGAAAAAAGTATTGCCATGTTTTATATACTTGGTAGTTGTAAATAAGGATTTCTAACATAATCATCTTCCCACAGTTTCAGGAATCTTTGGATTTTGTTTTCATGACAATATAGTAAAAATAGTAAGCAACAGACTTTTATTGCTAATAATACTCTGTGAAAATGGCAATGTGTCAATACTCTGCTTATTTCATTAAATCAACACATTTGTTTCACAATGTGCTTTGCTGTGACTATTTTCAAAGAAAATACATCTGAGGTTAAACTGCTGGGAATTTTAAATAACACATTTGTATGACAGCATCTTAGGATGGGTAGAAAGTGCCAAACATCATACTATTTATTCTTGCCTTTTAAACAAAAATTATCCCTCCCCTGACTTCTTACCAGATGTTAGCATTGTAGAGCCCAGCAGGTGCAAGACCTGGGGGTGATAGCAGTGAGTCATAGGATCCCACTGAAACTCTGCTTAGGAATAATATTGTTAATTTTTTCACAGAGTGGTTATATAAGTAAAATTTACATAATTGTCAAAGCAGTATAGATACTCTAAGTAAGTGTAAAGAAACTTACTCTTTTTCATGTTCCGCAAAATTTTCAAACTCTGCAAAAAATGAAGAAAAAGAAAGTGTTAGTTTTGTTCCTATGAAATCCAAAACACTTTAAGCGGAAATTTAAATATTAGTCTAAAACATGAATTTCCTTAAAAATAGCCATCAAAATGTACAGGGTTTTTTTTCCCATCTTGCCATTTTCAGTTCACTACAGAGTCATCACCTGACTTCATCTAGCTATTTATTCCCAACCCTAAAAGATTGTACAGAGCTCCTAGAAATGTGTTTTAAAAATAATAACCCTAAAAGAAAAATGGGCAAAAATACAGTACTTCTATGGGTCGTTTTTTGTTTCTTGTTTGTTTGTTCTTTTTAACATTTAAATTTTCCATCTATCTAGAATATGTCCTGGGATAGCTATGATGTATGAATCCTACATTTTACTCCCTCCACCCCCCAATCTACTGACTATTCTTGTTTTTCTTCCCCTCCCCCATTTTAACTTAGAAATCATTTTGTCTTGTCCCAGAAGAAGAAAAGTTAAGTTTTATTGGGCATGCGTTAAGCCAAGTTGTTTTTTTTTTTTTTTCTTTTTGGTTTCTTTCTATTAATGTGATTGTTGTGAGATCAATGATTTGAATGAAAACATTTAATCTATTTTTCTATCTTAAATCTGGCAATTGGGGTTAGGAGGAGGGCAGCTTCAATAATGAAAAGCCTCTGACGACATGTGTCTTGAAAGTCTTGTCTTCTTTACCTTACTCCTTGTGAAACATTTTGTAGGAGTCTTCAATGTCTGTTTTGAAGATGTTGAATTGTCCATGGGGTTAGGACAACTAGTGGAATAAGTGTGTATAGCTTCAGCTTGCAAACCCACATCTAAAAAAAAATGTTGCAGAGTTTTGTTGCATAGTTCTTAAGCTTTCAGATATATATTCATCATTTTCACTTTGACTTTTTATACATTTTAAAATAAATAATTAAAAAATAAGTTTTTATGTAATTTTTGTAATATTTAAACATTTTGTACCTTTTCTATTTAGATCCAACTTAATTGTTAGCCTATTATCAGTCTTATCTTTTAATAACTTTTTTGAAAGAAAGTGCTGCCACTTACAGTCTTCATCAGCAAGAAAGAAGGACTCTCGGGTTCTTTCTGGAAGCGGAGGTGGTGAGGGAGATGAACGATCGTCATAGAGATCTGTGATAAAAAGAGTATCCAAAAAAGCAAAAAAGATCTGATTAAAATTCATGTCAGGATCCCCTTTTGGTTTTGAGTGACTTTTCTAATTTTTAATATTAACCCATAACAACCAAATAAAAAATTATCTGAAAGATGACTGGTGCCTCAAGAAATTTATTCTTCTAGATATTTAGCCAATAGGTCAATGATTCACCAGACACTGTAAAATGTTATGAACCATTTTATAGTACAAATCCTTAGCGCTAAATATCATCTAAATGAAGGAAATTTTTTTTTACCTGGGTTGGGACTCAGGAGTTTTACACTCTAAAAAATAAAAAGGGAAAATGAAAGCAGACTATGCATACAAATGCACAAACTTAAAGTAATAAATAACACATTTTGACATTACACGTCCTATACCTGTTGGAATAGTTCCGAGTGCTGACCCTGTTTTTCCTAAGGAATAAGTGTGCTGAGTTACGAAAAGGCATCCTTAATCCTTACAGTGATTTTTATGTCACAGCACTGAGTCGTAAATGGAGGTTTTGTCTCCTTTCCTTTCTACTCAGAACATTTTCCTGAAAATTTAATTGAAGGTAAGTTGCTGAATTTGAAGTAAGTACATGGCATTGGGGAATGAGTGAGTGTTCTTTGCTCTGGGAGTTAAGATAAAAACTATTACATATATGAATATCATTAGCAATAATATTAACAATTAGACTAGCAAATTAAAAGTATAATTACAAAGGTAAAGCATATTTGCCTATCAGTATTGCCATTGTAGCCATTTAAAATATATACTTAATTACTTTTCAGATCTCTGAAATCTTCAGACAGTTCATTCATGGAATATATACAAATACAAAATACATTGTTGAAAGTGTAAATATTTCTTTCAGAAGTAGACAGCATTATTCCCGGAAGTTTTATCTTAAATAAAAAGGGTATCTGTCATTCAAAAAATTACTTTCTATCATAGCTTATCACAGCTAATATGATTCAGTCCACCAAATTACTACCAAGAACAAGTTACCTACTTATGAAACATTTATTTTTGCCTTAATTATCTTTCAAGAATCAGCTTAAATATTTCCTCTTACACTAAGTCTTCCTTGATTATTTTCAACTTCCAATTATTATTTCCCAAGGATCTCTCAGCTTTTGAGTCTCTTCTCTTTCTCATGGCATTAATCAATTTTGCCTTGCTTTGACAAATATTGACAAAAATAAAGACATCACATCCTGTAACTCACTGCTAGACTCTAAGTTTCTTAGGACAATAGTTATTTCTTATATATTTTTTATCTCCCATATCCTCTAGCACATTGTTTTATAAATAGGATCTGCTTAATATTTATTGAGTGATAGGTGTTAAAAATACAAGGAGAAGGACTATAGTCTATTGAATCCAAATAAGTAGAATCCGGAATGAAATTACTGACCTTTCTTGGTCTAAGTCTTACAGAGTCATCCAATTTCTCTGATTCAGATGTTCCACTCCATTCTAGTGATGTTTCAATTTTTATGTTCATAGCTGAAGCTAAGGATTTGGGGACATCTGGAGAGAATTCTCCTGGAAGAAAGTAAATATGGTTCAATTCTTAGGAGGGTTTTCATTCTTTTAGAAAGCAAGGGTCACTCAGTAATAGCAGACAGAGTGTTGAAAGGACCTGAGAAGTCATCTAGTTAATCCAACCTATTCCACCCACTGAATTGTACTCACCAGCTTCGTCTACCACAATAAAAGATTCAGGTGTCCGTTCAGGAAGTGGAGGGGGGATTTCATCTTCTGTCCTTGCAGAAGTTGCTATCCAAAATGCCAGAAATATAATCACAATTTTAATTGGAAAACGCCAAAGAAAATTCTTACATTCTAATATTGAGGTAAATGCCATCAATCATCACTACACTATTGAAACTGGTATCTTTCAATCAAGAATAAAAGCAAAATATAGTTTCATCTTAAATTTCAAACCCAGGATTTCTTTGCTTCATCTTCAAAATGTTCTATTTCCTTTAAAGGTTCAAAGTACTTTGTTTGGGCCTCCCCGGTGGTGCAGCAGTTGAGTGCTGGGTTGGGAAGCTGCCCGCAGCCTCTGCAGCGCCGGTTTGATCCCCGGCTGCTCCCCGGCCACCAGAGGAGGGTCTCACATGGCGCGCAGACCTCTCCTGCTGCCTGCTGCTCCCCTCAGCAGTGTACTTCTGTCCTTCTGCCTGTTCTGCTCCCCGCTCTGGTGAATTCTCTCACCCTCCCACGCTTCTGACTGTACCCAGTGCTTGCATAAATAAATAAAAATCTTTATTAAAAAATATAAAAAAAAAACCAACAAAGTACTTTGTTTGAGGGCCTCCCTAGTGGTACAAGGGGCTAAGTCTCAACACTATCAAGCTTATCACCAGCCACTGTGGCATGAGTCCAATGCTCCACCAGGATGCTAACCCACATGACACAACAGACCTCTTCTGTCTCCCCATTGCTCCCCTCAGCAGTGTATTTCAATAGCTCCACCTGCTCTGCTCCCCACCCTGTCTCTGGTGAATCCTCTCACCCCCCCCACACACACTCTGGCCTACACCCCAGTTCTTGTGTGCATAAATAAATAAAAATAATCTTCGAAGTATTTTGCTTGAGTCGCTGAATATAACATAACATAATATAAAACACTACATTAATTTAGAAAGTCTTGGGTTGTTTTCTACAACTTTCTCAATTTTACTAAGACTATGTAACAAGGCAACTTAATACACTTTGATATGTTAAAGATCCAGTTACAAAGTATGTAAAGTCATAAAGATTTTAGTATCACTTCTTCATTCTACAAATGAAGAATATGGAATGTTCTTGGTTCATGGAACTGGGATAACAAGGTTTTCTATACCTCTATAGAAATAGCATTCCAGATTTTTATAGAACTTTTAAAATGCTATTCTAAGAAACTGCCACTGGGTGGCACAGATGTCAATGTTGTTACAATTCCAGAAACTAAGGATTTGGGTTTGGTTTTGTTTTGTTTTTTGATGATGCTGATGAATAAGTCCAATATATTATGGGGTATGTAGGAAATATAAAATTCCTTTAAATTGTAAAACAAGATCAAAGTACGTAAAATAAGTAAAGAAGGAACTTCCTAGGTCCAGATAAAGTATTTCTGTAACAAAGTTACTTATCTATGCAGCTATTAAAAACAAGTGTTCTCTAGTTCCTATCCAGTTAGACCTTTTTAAATTAGTTTTAGAAGCTCTACCTAAGAGTTAAACTTGCTCTGTATTTTACTGCATCTTCTTCAACATCACACTATTATAATCTTCTCTAACAGTAGAATCGCTCCTTTCAAACCACTAAATGAAACAAAACAATAGGCAGAAGATGCAAAAATCTAGAATGGTGAGATAAGGTATGAAAGTAAAGGTGTATAGAAGGTTAAAATCCCACAGAGAACACTGAACATGAATTCCCTTCTACTAAGTTATTGCAAAAGGACAGGAGGAAATCAGGCCTTTCTCTTCCAGCTCCCGCAGGAAGAGAATTCAATTCTGAGCAATCTGGCCAACTCATTATAGCCATATGATTGTGCAAGAAAAATTTTGAGTGACCATGTGGTGCTGTTGATAAAATCTTTCCTGTATGTTAACAAATTGTGGACTTTTGATATGAATTTCTAGGACTGAGGATTGCCTGCTAGCATAGATGCAGTACCAAGTCACACAACCTTCACTCCTACCTAGTGTCATGAAATAGAGCATGCTTGTTATTGCTATTTTCAAGTTAACACAACATTGAAACACTCTTGGAATTTAGGACATGGAGGGAAAGAAGCAGAGAAAGACAAGGGGGAAAGTGAGAAGTAATCCAAATCTTACATAGAAACAAATTGAAAGCTAAAATGCCACACACATTTTAAAAAATAACATACCTACTAATGCTGTCTCTTGGTTCAGTACTGAGGGATCCTCTGCTAAAGAATCATGTGAATGATAATAAGAAAAGAAGGTAGAAGATAATGGCAATGAAGAACAAGATAAAACAGTTCCATCTTGCTTCTCAGGAAAGTCAAGAGACATCTTGGAACCAGTACTACTTGGAGACAATGATGAAAAATAAGGATCCTCTACTAAAGACATGTCAGAATATATATTGAAAGCACTGGAGACATGTTGCCTTGCACTAGATGGATTAAACATTTGCTGCTGAGACTCGTAAGACAGGGAATAGTTCAGTTCTGCTGAAGAAAAGTGCATCTTTTTCTGAGGCTCCTCAAGAAAAGAATGGTGTGGTTGAGATTCCAAATCAGAAAAATTTCCCCTGATGTCAAACTCCTTGGTATCTCTCTGCTGTAGCAATTCAAAGGGAGTTGATTTGGTCCGTGTTATTGGCCTCTTTGGATTAAAGTATCTTTCTGTTGAGTTTATAGATTCTGAACTAGAACAGGCTTCAAACAAAATGGAGTTCAAGTCCAAACTTTTATGCTTCTGAAGAGCATCATCATTACAACCACAATTTAGCTCCAAAAAGTCCACAGAACTGCTCTGCTTAGCAGGGTGTAAAACTAATCCTTCCTTTTGACTAGTTTCAGAAGTCCTCGGGTCAAAGGAAGAAGTTTCTGCATTTTCCCTTTGTGTGCTCTGTTGGTTCACCATTTTTGCTTCTTTTGTACTGTTGAAATAAAGGAAAGTAGTGAGGATAGCATACCCAGAGGCCTCTTCCCTGTCTTTTTCCTAGCATCACAGAGAATTATGAATTTGAGATTTGTCTCCCAGATCTGTCCCTTTTACATGTGTGAAATTGCACTCACCATTTTGGTAAATTAAGAGAATAAGTGTCTTCTTCTAGATGAGGAGTTTGCTGAGGAACTGAACACTTTGCTCGAATCTTCAAAAGAAATAAGTAAGGTATTTTTTTTTTTAGTGAAGCATTGGCAATAAAATATTTTAGCATTCACAAGGCTGAGAAGTTACTTTTCAGAAAATATAAGGATTGCAAATAATTCTTGAAAAATTAGGTGAATTTCCAAAATAATGAATCCAACAAGAACTTGTTCACATACTTAGATCAAAAGGTTCAGAATAAAGGATTATTAGTATTAGAGAAACTAGAGAGGATTTACTTGTAGTATCTTTTCAAGTGTGGCCGTTTTCAAATGTGTTTGAGGGGCAACCTTTGGAACTTAACCTTTAAAGTTAATAGGTGTTTATTAGGTTCTCATACTTATTTCATCTTATTCTACTTCCTCCTTCTTGTGCTGGTTTTCCTTAACGTGTCAAACTCATTTCCAATTTAAGGCCTTTATAGTTACTATTATCTTTGATTGAAATACTCTTCTTACTCCAGATGTTGCATGTTTGACTAAATAGTTTATTTCTGCTTAAATGTCACCCGCATAAGGAAAATTTCCCTGACCATTCAACCTAAAATTACTCTCTCACATTGAGAGTACTTAGCCATTCTCAATCTTTATTTTATTCATAGCAATCACATTATGAGATTTGTTATTGTGACTCATAGCATCTAAGATGCCATAAATTGTAAAATATATTCTGATCTCAGAGACTTCTAAATGTAAAAAAAAAAAAAAGTCAGCAAATCTTAAGACTCCACCTATTATAAAAAGATAAACTCTAACAATAATATCTTTGAATGTGACTATATTTGGAAACAATCTATGCAGATGTAATTGGTAAAGATGAAACCATACTGGATTAGAGTGGGCCCTAATAAGATGATTTGTGTTCTTCTATGAAGAGAAAACAGAAATTGAAAGACACAAAGGGAAAATAAAATCTTGTATATTTTTCTGCTGTTGGGTGGAACATTCTGTGAATATTGATTTGATCTGATGGGTTTATGTCATGTAGAGTACTCCTGTGTTCTTGCTGATTCTCTGTCTAGTTCTATCAATTGAGAGGGGGGTATTGCAGTCTCTAAACAGAACTATGATTTTTCAAATTTCTCCTTTTAGTTCTATCAGTTTTTGCTTCATACACTTTACAATTATGCTTGGTTCATACATATTTCATATTCTATGTATAATAGCAGTAAGCAATGGACTGATTCTTTTATCATAATACAATGTCCATCCCTGTCTGTGATAATTGTCTTTCCTCTGAAGCCTGCTTTATCTGATATTAATATAACTACTCCTATTTTCCTTTTATTCATTCCTACATGATGTATTTTTTCTCAATCCTTTACTTTAAACCAACCTATATATATGAAGTATATATATATATATATATATATATATATAAAGTATTTTTCCTATAGATAGAATATAGTTGCTAATCAGTCTGTTCACGGGTATATTTGTATCATTTACATTTAATATAATGCTATGGTAGGGTTTAAATATGCCACTTTATTTTTTTTTCTGTTTTCTGTGTTACTGATTTCTTTTGCTGCCTCTTCCTCTTTCTTTTGCTGCCTCTGCCTCTTTTTCCTGCATTTTTTAGAATTTCATTTTGACATCTATAGTTTTTTTGAATGTATGTTTTTGTGTCACCTTTTAGTTATAGCTCTAGGTACAGCCATCAGAATCTATCTATAGGTGTTGCATTTTACTAGTTCAAGTACAGAAAACTTACCTCCCTTGATTAAAAAAAAAGAAGAAAAAGCAGAAACTTTACCTCCCTTTCTGTCCCTAATCCTCCCCTGCTTATAACAGCCTTAACATATTTTCTCTAATACATTTACAGCCACATGAAACAGTGTTATACTTTTTTAATAATCAGATTAGAAACTTAAAAAGAAAACCTATTCTATTTCCTTTGTTCAGCATTTTCTCCCTGATTAGAAAACTTGCTTTGTCATTTTTTAGAGTAGGTCACTGGCAACAAATTCCCTTAGTTTTTCTTCATCTGAGAATATCTTGATTTCCGGTTGAGCACCGCACTGTGAAGCTGTCCGCAGCCTCTGCAGTGCGGGTTCGATCCCGGATGGCCGGCGAGAATCCCACATGGCGAAGCAGACCTCTCCTGTCTTGCCTGCTGCTCCCCTCAGCAGTGTATTTCGTCAGTCTGCCTGTTCTGTTCCCCACTCTGTCTCTGGTGAATCTTCTTACCCTCCCATGCATCTGGCCTGTACCCTGGTTCTTGCATTAATAAATAAATCTTAAAAAAAAAAAAAGAATATCTTGATTTCCCCTTTATTTCTGAAGGATATTTTCACAGGTGTAGAATTCTGGGCTAAGAGTTCTTTTCTTTCAGCACTTGAAAAATATTGTGCAACTTTCTTCTGGCAAATTCATTAGAGTTGACAATAACTAGAGAATTGCTTAGTTTGTTAACTAGCCTCAACAATTTTTTGGGCTTTCTTCCCTCCCTGAAGTTTTATCATTCAACTGATAGGAGTTATGATCAAAGACATGTCTTACATACTTTATATTCCTAATTCTATGGAAATGGTAGACCCTTAATAAATACTTTCAGATCAATAATCCAAAATGTGATATTAAAAGTTAAATTATTATAGATGTTACATCCACCCTAGAAGGTAAATCAGTCATTTTTTTCTTCTAAAGGTTTGCTCAGAAACTAGTACTTTGTGATTATACAGTTAGTCCTTGACTTATTTTTTATAACATAATTAAAAACCATATTCCAAAACACTCAATGTTTCAATTGGCGTTTGGTCAAATCATATTTGCTTTCATACAAAAGACCTTCAGCTGAAAATCATTCTCAAATTTCTGTGAGACATTGGCGTAACAATAAGGCTAGAAAAATCCTATCAAGGCTCAAGTGTGATTTTATTTTGTAATTATTACTCTTTTCTAACTCACCACACAAACCTCTACAGCATGAGAACAGGACATAAGCTTGCCCTTTCACTCACTCCTATTGTTTCTAAACTTGAAAATGGTGTGCAATAGGAAATCAATAAATGAATTTTCTAAGTTTAAGTATCTCAATTAATTTGTCCTTTTTCACAGGAGATTTTCAGGGCAGGCACATGCACATCTGACACTCCAATTTGGTTGCAACAGTAAACAAAAGATTCTGTAACTAATCTTGACCAAAATCAAACATGAAAAACAAATGGAAAAAATACCAAGTTTAAAGCTTACCTCGATTCCAGAGGATTTATCATTGATAATTTCTATCTGTCTCTTAAATAGCTCTAATACAGCTTTGTAGACCAGTTCATACTGTTCCTAAAGAGCATCACAAATGAAAACAAAGAGAAAGTTTGGTGAATTACAAAGCCAGATTTTGGGAATAGTAACACCAACCAAACCCTTAGTATAGCAGACCTGAAAATACCAATAACAATAGCTTAATGACGGTGTCTTCTGTTTGCATAAACCACTTCAGATTTCAAAGCGCTTTTAGGCTACCAGAAACAGCCAAATATTTGACCTACCTAGCTATGTACAAGGACCCCCGAGGCCTACTGTTTCTGTGTTCTAACCCCACTTTCTTATCTACCCCCTTCTACCACCTCTTGAGTTCTCTTTTCTTTGCTAACATTTTAGAAATTTTATTTCATCCTGAATGCATTTTTTTTTGTAAGTCACCTTCATCTTTTCTGGAAAAAATCAGAGAGGTTGTGGTTCGTGGGTAGATAGCTAGCTTTGATATTTATTATTTCATTTGACCCTCACAGTTGATCTAGCAAGTAGGTTATTATCCTGTTTACAGACTTGTCCAAGGTTATACAGAAGTGATTTTTGCAGGACATTGGTTAGAACATGAATCTTTGCCTCTTGGTTTAGTGTACTTAGATCAAGAGGCTGAAATTATTCCCTGGCAAAGATATCAAAAAAAAGGTACACTGCTTAGAAATCACTGCAGAACCGAGGCTGTTAGATGGTGAAGGTGGATATAAGAGCTAAATGGGAAGGGGCCATGGTATAAAGGGCCAAATATGGGTAGTGGGGCAGGGGTGGGAGGAGTGTGGTGATGTACATCTGAGGTATCAGGTATGAACTTATTCCTCTGATTCTTATACAGTGATGTCAGCCAATGTCACCTCCAAATCAGAAAAAAAAAAAATTTAAAAAGAAAGTAAAGTAACTGTTGAATAGAGTCTGGAAATTTGTAATTCTAAAAGGATTTCACCATAAATTAGACATCTATAATTACAAGTTTTATGGGATTTTACTACTTTATTTTGACTTTCACCTAAATGGACCTGTTTAATGGGTTTTCCCTGACATTTTACACAATCTTATACAAATAAATCCAACTTTTTCCAAAAGTAATTTTAGTAGGAGAATAATGCAAAGTCTATATCACCCAACACAGGCAGGGTTAGTGCACTCTTGAATTTTTTTTTTCATTTACGAATTGACTTCTTTTTTAATTTTTTTTTTTTTTAAGATTTATTTTTAGTTATACAAGAGCTAGGGTACAGGCCAGAGTCGTGGGAGGGTGAGAGACAGAGTGGGGAGCAGAACAGGCAGACGAACCGAAAGCACTGCTGAGGAGAGCAGCGGGCAAGGCAGGAGAGGTCTGCTGCGCCATGTGGGATTCTTGCTGGCCGGCCGGGAATCGAACCGGCACTGCCAAGGCTGCGGACAGCTTCAGAGCGAGGCGCTCAACCCACTGCACCACTGGGGAGGCCCCGAATTGACTTTTTAAAATTAATTTCTTTGTTTTTCATCGAGGTAGTCACTCTTGAGTTTTTTTAGAACAAAGAAAATCAGACAGGAAGTAGTCAGCTAGTGACAGTGCTATTTCGTGGTTAAAACAGTGTCAGAAAAAGCTACAACTGGTAGGTAGTCATTAATAATGTCAAAATGTGAAGGCTAACTTAAAATTGTTTTAGCTATATTCCAACTCTTAAAAGTAGGCCTGAAGTGAAGTTTTTCTGAAATGGGGTGTGGTTCTCTTTATTGACTCAGCTTTACAACTGATTACTATACAACTAGATTGTACATTTCTTGGCGTCTTTAGACATTGCATGGATCAGCCTTCGTTAAGTCTGAAAACACTAAACCAGTCAATGCCCTCATTTCACACAAACTTTCCCCCTCATAGGCTGAATATAGAAAACACCTACAGTGAATACATGAAAAAAAAGTTGTATTTTTCCACTAGCTATTAGTGGAAAACCTGTGTGGGCCAAACAAAATGCTTATTCTATAATAGCTCTTCATTTTTTCCCTTTAACTCACAAATCTGAGATGAAAATATCTGAACTGCCACTGTCAATTGTTTTACTCTGAATCTATGTGCAAGTTCATTTCCAAGTGCTTTAAACATGCTAGGATCTTGAAAAAGTAACTAATTATACAAAAGTGTCTTTTGTATAGTAAATATCAATAAATGTTTGATGAATGAATGAGTGGAAGCCAAACACTATCTTAAAGATAGAGACCATTTTAAAATGTGAGTTAAATTATTGGTGTAGAAATATGGGTAAAATTAATATTAATGACAATGAGAGATTTGAGCTGGGAATGTTTTACATGGGAGGTAGAACTTGAGCTGGAAAGAAGAGAAGGCAGAAAAAAAAGCATTCTTAGCAAGTAAATAAGTATTAGCAACCTGGAATGGGTTACAATATATAATCATACATACAGAATTATTATAATTACAATTTTTTATATATGCATACAGTAAGGACCAGGAAAGAGACCTCTTGGTTATAGGATTATGATTGATTTTGTTTTTCAGTATTTCCTAAAATGAGTATACAGAATGCATCCTCCAGACTCTGTTACCACCTCCTGGAATAGATATTGCAACTCTCTAATGGTCAATTAGAAATGAATTTACTACTAAAAATTTCAAGTTGACCTGATCCTTCTATTTCTTTTTAATAAGTCAAACAGCCTATTGAGTTTTCTCAACATCCTTTTTAAGTAAGAAATATTTTATTGATTTCTTATACTTTTTCTGAAGAGACAGTAAAATAAGGAATGAAGGAAATTTGACCCAAGGCAAAGGATACAGGGAAAATATTGGTACATTTAGAGTTAGAGGGAAATTGGATTAATGCACTTAATAGCATATTGGCGTGAGAGCTAAGCTGTGGTGTGGTAGTTGTTTTTGGATGCCTTGGTATTAAACAGAGAAATGGAGTAAGATCCACATTATGGTCAACTGGTCATAGTTCTCACCTGTGTTTGAACAAATGAAGGCCTCTGTGTTCGCATTTCCTGGATCAAATTAAAAACATTGAAGTTCTCCGGAATTATCTATCAAAAAGAAAGAAGAATTATCTTATTCCTTTAACCCTGTCTTTGTTAATAAATTATTGCCGCTCCCATGATAGTTGTTCTCCCGACATGCAATAATATCAGAAAAAGAATGTGTTGTTAAACAAATGTGGTTTCTTATCACTTGTATCATCATTTTAGGGCATGGTTTTCCACCCAGAAAAGATTGAAGAAACTCTGCAGAATGATTTCCCATGGAATGATTGATCAAATGTTTGAAGTTAAAGATAAAATGAGGGAAAAGTCTCAGTAGATGAGAATGTATAAGGGTTTTATGAAATAAAAGTTGGTATATAGGTCTAAAACCCACATTTTTAAACTTTCCATTTTGTACAAGCCTATTAAAAATGATTTAGCTATTTACAATAGCTAAGATATGAAAACAACCCAAAAGCCCCAAAACAGATGAATGGATTAAAAAGATGTGGTATGTATACACAATGGAATACTACTCAGCTATCAAAAAAGATAAACCCATGCCATTTGCAGCAACAAGGATGGCGCTGGAAGGGATTATTATAAGCAAAAAAAAGTCAGAAGGAAAAAGATAACATCAGATACTTTCACTTCTATGTGGAATATAGAGAAAATGAACAAAAGGTTAGGAAAGAGATAAAACTTGCAAGCTGATCATAGATCTGAGGCATCCAGCAGGGCAGGGGGAAGGAAAGGGGTCAAAACAGGGGAGGGAACCCTGGTGGTGCAAGGGGTTAAGCACCGCACTGTGAGGCAGTCCACAGCCTCTACAGCATGAGTTCGATCCCTGGTCCGCCAGGGAGCAACCCACATGGTGCAGCAGACCTCTCCTGTCTCGCCGGCTGCTCCCCTCAGCAGCGTATTTCAGTCAGTCTGCCTGTTCTGCTCCCCACTCTGTCTCTGGTGAATCTTCTCACCTCCCAGACCTCTGGCCTGTATACCAGCTCTTGTATGCATAAATAAATAAATCTTTAAAAAAAAAAAAAGCAAGGGGAGGGAAGAGCATAAGAAACTATGGTGATTGTTCACATATGCTATGGTGGTGGGAGAACCACATCGGACTACATCTGAGGAGAGAAATCAAATACTGTACAAAAATTAACAATGATGTAAGAAAATAGATTTAATAATAAAAATGAAAATGATTTATCTCTTTCCTTGCTGTCACAGAGTAGCAGAGACAGAAGTTTGGGTGCATTCAAGATTTGGCTCTATCTGCAACCCACTGCCATGGGCAAGAAAGGCATTACTGCTGCTGGACTTGGGGTGCAGCATGTGGGGCCAGAGGCACTGAAGACTGCCCCCCAGAATGCCTACCCAGCATGTGAATTCTGAAAAACCACCAAAGCCTTAAGCAAGTTCCCAATTGATCTTTGTGTGCTTGCAACCAGCTGTGATGTGCTGTGTATATCTTGTTGGTGGAAATCCTTCGTGCTGACGCCAGATCAACCTATCTAAGGTTGATGACAAGAAACCAGGGGAATGAGTAGACCTCTGTGAAACTGACAGAGCGGGGAAACTGTAAAATGGCTGATTGCAGTAGTTTTGTTAGGGACTATGGCAGAATCTCAGACCAAGGTTGTCATGGAGGAAGACAACATAGAAATGGACAAATAGGGCCTCCCTAGTGGCGCAAGGATTAAGATACAACCTATGAAGCTGTCCGCTTCATAAGTTCTGCAGCATAACTCTGCAACATAAGTTCCCCCACCAGGGAGCAACCCACATGGCACAGCAAACCTCTCCTGACTCGCCCACTGCTCCCCTCAGCAGTGTATTTTGGTCAATCTGCCTGTTCTGTTTCCCACTCTGTCTCTGGTGAATCCTCTCACCCCCCATACCTCTGGACTGTACCCCAGTTCTTGTGTGCATAAATAAATAAATCTTTAAAAAAAAGAAATGGACAAATAAAAAATGTGATTATTGTTCCTTTGAAAAACAAAAATGATTTATAGATGGGAACATAAAGTTTAATTGCAACTTGAGCCATTTACAAAAGCAACTTGGAGAAAGGGTCATTATAGAATTTAGGGCAGTGGCTCTCAAACTACCTGCCAACCTTGCTGGCTCACGCCCCCAGAGTTGCTGCCTTAGTCCACCTGTGTTGGGTCTGAACTCTGCATTTCTAAAATATCCTCAGGCAATGCTGATGCTCTTTGGCTGGGAAACTCAATTTGAGAACCATCAACTTAATGACTAATTTAACCCCCTGACAAAGTAGGTCTACAAGAAAATGTTCTAGAAATGATGAATTATGGAGGCAGACGTTTTGAAGAACCAACAATTCCTAAGTCTGATGGCCGCAGGGTAAGTAAATGGAAAGGACCTGTGGAGAGAAACTCACCCCATCTTTTAGTAACATCCACGCATAGTCAATAGCACAGATAACACCCGTCCTTCCACAGCCGGCACTGAAATGAAAGACCACAGGAGCATGTGTAACTGCAGACAGCGGAGTTTTGCAGCTGTGCTATTGCAACAGCAGATTTGCAGAAGAAAGCTGGAAACAATGAAACTTTCTAAACCTACCAGTTCCCAGAACACCCTTGCCAATTGCCACGTGGTACAATGAACCTCAGGAGAGATCAGAGGGAACTTCTCACAGAGTCTCTAGAGCTACACTGCTCACAAGTCACTTTTCAGAAAAAAATATTAATTTGATAATTTAATAAATTATTTAATAAGTAACATTAATTTAATGCTCAGGTTGAACTTATTATAGTCTGTTTCTGTGATTCACCTTTTGTTTCCCATCAACCTCATTTCTAAACTTCATTGCTGGCAGAGAGGGGTATTGGCATGGGTTTGGTGGAGGATGAGTAGAACGTGGGCACATTCAGAAGAGCAAAAATGCAACCCCCAAATTAAAATTAAATATATGTACAGATATCTAACAGGGAAAAAAGCAAAGGAACTTCATTCCTTCCTGATCAAAGGGAAAAGGTGAGGCCAGGATCAGCAATGTGCACCCCGTGTGCTCCAACCACCTTCAGTTCCAACAGCGAGTCTTCCCGTCATGGCCATACTGTGACCCTGGGGTGTTGTGGGCACAGGCTCACGCCACAGCATCCCACCTGCAGTGAATGCACACAGGGACACTGTCGTCCTCTTGGTAGCAACGCATATCCCAGATGAGCTCAAGAATAGGGTCGATGGAGGACGGCACATCGTGGTCCGGCCAGTTCTTGTAATGAAACTGGTAGATGGTTCGAGTCTCCTATAAAGAATAGCCAGGACAAAAGGTGAGTTCGGGGATAGGACTCCCCCTCATTCTACCATAAGTTTACTCTGACTTACGAAGTAGAATCTATAGCATGTCTGCAATTTATGCTGCTTTCTTTCTTATAGACTTCTGGTGCCTTCTGAGAACAATTAAATGTGATTTCAGGTCACTTACTATTGGTCCACTCACAAGATGAGGGCAGTAGGCAGACAGTCCACCCCAGAGCTGGGAAACAGGCATGCTGCTACCTCAAGACCCTTTGCTTTAGAGAATGGGCAGCCTCGGCTCTCAAACTGACCCCTATTCACTGTGCAATCTCTATTCACCCTACGCCTATTATCATTTTATACGTGTGCCATGGCATTGAATAGATTGTCTCTTTTGTATACGAGGCTTTTATTCTGAACATTAAGACTGCTCTTTCCCCAATTCGTTAGGTCCAGCCCGAGTCACATTTGTAGTTACCTTCCTGATCTATGTAGGCTTTGGAGTTTATCTCACCTGTTCTGTACTTACATTTTTGAACTTGGCTTTGAGAGTCCTGATTATGTAATCGGATTTTCTTTTTTCAGATTCCTAAGAAATAGATTAAACATTAGCTATTTCAATGGCTAATATTACAAGATTTTTCTCTGTCAAGTAGACCCTGAAGTGTTTGCTCAGCCTAATGGGAACGGAGATGATACTTACACAGATTATGGAGAAAGGACCCACTTGTAGTTCCGTCTCTCCTAGCTCAGCCCAGTAGCGCTCACACTTTTTCTGTGGCACAAAGCAGAATATAATGATTTCCCTCCATTTATTCTAGTTTCTTTGAGGTGGCAAGAGCCACTTCCTCATTCAGAAGCAAAGTCAGCTCTGCATGCTTCATCTTACATTAGGAACTTCCAATCCCCATGGACTTAGTCCAACATCAAGATTTCCCATCAGAGACTCCCCAAGGATGGAAAAGCAAACACTTTAAGGATATATAAGTTAATGACTTCCTAGAGGCCTGAAAAAGTAGAAACAGAGACTTTTGGCATTTTCAGTATTTCAGAAGGATCAATAGAAATCATGTCTGCTGTATGAGCTAACAGAAACATTAAGCCCCCTTGTTTTAACTGGAATTGTGTCAACTTAAAATGGAGACAGGTGGGATTGCTGTTTAAGACTGTAATATGAGCTGCCTATCTAATTTTTAATTTTTTTTTTATTTTTGTGTAGAAGCACTGGGATGTAGGCCAGAGGTGCAGGTGTGAGGGTAGAGTGAAAGGATTCACCAGAGACAAATTGGGGAGCAGAACAGGCAGATTTACTTAAATACACTGCAGGGGAGCAGAAGGCAAGACAGGAGAGGTCTGCTGCATCATCTGTGGATTAGCTCCCTGGCCGGGGACCAAACTCAGGCCATAGTGTTTATAGTGCTGAGACTTAACCTGGAGGCTACAAGGAAGGCCCCTAATTTTTAATTTTCTCATAAATGCATTCAAAAATGAAAAAAGGTAAAATTATCTTACTTGGCCCTTAAATGTCAAAAAAAAATTCTACATGTTATCAAGATAAGTCATTAGCTATTTGATATTTTCAAACTACAGCTTCAAAATCTGCTATGTATTTTATATTTACAGTACATCTCAATTAGTATGCTCACTTTTTATTGGAAATATGTCATTTACATTTAGATTTCATAAAATGTACAGTTGAAAACAAGATACCCAAGTTGTTCCAAATATATAAATAACATTTTCCAGGAACTGAATTGTATATCAGTTTTTGCATTTAAATTCATTAAAACAGAATAAAATAACTAAGCTCAGCAGCCACACCGGGCCGCACTGCAGGAGCTCAGGAGACATGCGTGGCTGAGGCGGTCATTGAAAGCCCAGGTCAGCACTCTGACCAGCATTAATAATGTCTGACTTTTAAAAATGGAAAAATAAATAGTGATTTTTTAAAAATTCCTTAATTTTACTTTAAAACATGGAATCTACTAGGAAAATGAACCAGAAGGGCAATTAGGGGTTAAAAAAAAAATCCCTGAGAGACAGCTGGTATTCCCAAACTGAAAACTAGAAAAATAAGAATAATTTTTTTGTAGGTACATTTAAGTACATTTTTGCTGTCTAGTTTCTACCTTCTTTTCCTTCTTTCCCTTATTTTTAGGTAAGCTAAAAGGCAACTCACCTTCCCCATCTCAAACTCCATGCATGCCATCACAATGATCTGGGGGATGCAACAGAGAAACAAGGACACACAGTAGTTAGAGCAGCTAATCGGAAGGGCTTGGGTCAGGGTGGACTATGCTTCTTGCTTTTGTTTTTTTTTTTCTTTTTTACTAAAAGGAATCCTGATAAATTATTAAAGGTTGTTCCTACCCTTCCTTCTATTCTGTCCTCACTTCCCTTTTCTCTATTCAAATCAGTAAATTCTTGTTAACAAATGAACTTGTCAAGATGAAAATTTCCATTTCCTTGAACAAGAATGACATGATACTTTTGACTAAAAGGTGTCAGAACACTGAAGTTTTAAAGACTGACCAAAAAAAGCACCGATTTTAATACATAGGAAGTCTCAGTCACACACCCTCACACTCTACTCCCACCTTCTTTAAAACTAGAGAATTGAGTAACAAAAGCAATTCCACACTTACCAGGACACTATATTCCCAAATCATCCTCCAGAAGTCCAGGACAGTTGTAGCCAAAGGTCCCTGGGAGGCAATATAAGCTTTGGGTCCATAAACTCCCTAAAGGGGAACAAAAATCACACGGGGTGACTACAAATAATATCCTCTTCTTGTCTATTGTTTTCCCCTCTTTTAAAAGAACCTCTTAGAGAAATACAGAATAAGGAGTGTACCTTAATGAAGTTGGCATTGATGTAGTTGGAGTCCTCGTCAGAGAGTATTAGGGACAGCTCTACTCGGCTGTGATCATCTAGATTATAAAAGACATAATTAAGAGGGTGTCGTCAGAGGGTTGACTGTGAGCAAGGTCTGGCAAACTACAAATAGTGATGTTCGCATCTGATGAGTGAGTGTTCTTTTGAATCATAAATAGCACAAACTAATTTGTCAAAACCAAGATTAGGAACAGCAAGCAAAGGATAAAAAGAGAAAGGCATGAGATTGAACTTGGAAGAAGGTTCAAGTTTATAGGAAGAAACTTACAGGGCAAGATATCCTTATATCTGTTTTTCTTGATATTCTTGGGTCTCTCAGCAACAGTTGTAGGGTAGGTTTTATCTACTTTGTACTTGGTGGATTGTCTTTTCAGTTTCTGTAATAAAATTTCAAGAATAATTAAATCTTTCTAAAAAAAAAAAAGAGGGAAGAAGTATCTGCAGAGCTAATTCTCCACTACCCCCACATTCCATTTCTGCCCTTCCAGTAACCCCCGAGATTGGCCTCCCTCAGGACAGAGCCTCAGAGGAGAAGGACATCAGAATTGGGTGACATTTAGAGAAGTGAAATTAGCTGAGCCACAAATAGCTAAAACTTAGAGATGAAACTGGTGAATATTTAAAAAACCAGTATCTTCTGAAAACAAATCAGCACATACCCCATTCTCCACCCAAATGGTCAGATATTAAAAGTTTAATTCACTTTCTTTGTAGGGTTATTTTAAGTAGAAATGGAACTTTCGTTAGCTGAATAAAACTTCTCTATATCTAACAAAATGTCAAGATTTCAAAAGCTATCATTTTAAATATGACCTAAACTTCAAGCCAATATCTCAATCAAACAATAATCTCAAGTAGTAGCATTTTCTGCTGATAGAATACAATCTGGATCAGGCGGGAAGCAAGCATAAGGTTCCTCAAAATAGTGGGATAATCATTAAAATTATTCTCATTTCCCAGTTATCCCATAGACCCAAATTTCAGAACAGAGAAATGGTATTTCCTCTTTAGCAGCTTCTTAGGAATCCATTTTATCCCAAATTATATTTAACTTCCTCCTCTGATTCAAAGAAACCACATTGAATAGCTGTGACCTTTGTGGCCCTACTTAATTGGAGAAAGCTAAGGGGAAAAAAAACATCTTTGGTGTCCAATAAGTATTTGTTGGATTGAACTACAGAAAATAATTTCCATTATTTGCCCACTATGTAATGGTGATTTTGTCACACAAAGAGCATTAATTACTTCCTGTCGGTCAGATTTCTCAGCATCTATTTAGTATTCATTCTCTTTAACTTCCTTCTGGACATTTCCTCTTCCCTTGACCTTTATTAGTCTGTTACCTTGGTTTTCTCCTTTCTTCTCTGACTTCTCTTTCCCACTTCTCGCTCTGAAAATAGTGTGGCTCTGGCTGGCTGTTCATTTCTATGTTCTAATTGTGAATTACCCCCAATTTCCAAAGTAAAATCTTCAACACTCTGCTCTTCTCTCACTATATGCATTTGCTGGGAGATAGCATATACTCTTATTGAAATTATACCCAGTGGTTTTTAACTGATTCAAATTGAATTTTAATTCCAACTCCTATTGGATAACTCAAGTTTATAAACTGAGACTCAATTACTAAATTACAATCCTGAATTCCTGATCATATATCCCAGACGTTTCCACTTGGATACCTTACTATAGCTGCAAACTCAGGACATTTAAAACCAAAGTTATTATTGTCCCACTGTCATTGATGATGGCATTATCTTTATCCCACGCACCCAAACTCTGGAAATGGAATAACTTTTGGTTCCCACCTTCCCACAATTTCTACCTCCAATTCAGTCAGCAAGATCAAGTTTCTTCCCAGGCAAAACCTTGCATCCACCTTCCTTCCTATGCCAGTTACAAAAACCTTAATTCCCTCCCTTACAGCTTGAGCTGTCACAGTTACTTCTTAACTCATCTTCACACTTTCTTTTTCTTTTTAAAGATTTATATATTTGTGCATACAAGAACTGGGGTACAGGCCAGAGAAGCAGGGGGTAAGAGGATTCACCAGACAGAGTGGGGAGCAGAACAGGCAGATCCACTGAAATACACTGCTAAGGGGAGCAGCAGGTGGAACAGGAGAGGTCTGCTGCACCATGTGGGTTTCTCCCTGGTCTGCTGGGGCATGCTGCAGTGGCTGGAGATAGCTTGAAAGCGCTGTCCTTAACCCTTGCGCCACCAGGGAGGCCCCACACTTTCTTTTTCTATTCAAATCCATCGGGCATAACTCTGCCCAATTAATCTTACCAAAATGCAGTTTTTGCTTTATCTCATACGCAAAACAACTTCAGTGGATTCCCTAGAAAAAATCCAAACTCCTTAGCCATGTGCTTAAGAGTTTTCTCATTCTTAGTTGGACCTTAATTTTCCATTGCCCTAAAAGTTGAGGCTTCTAAAGATGACTTCCAGGTTCATTCAAGCTTGTACAAATGGACGTCATTGAAAATTCTTTAAAATTATGACTTCTTCCTCGTATATCTGTACCCAATGCTGCTTTTGCATTTCTCAGTCATGATTATGGTATCTTGGATTAAACTTATAAAAATAAATCAAAAAAAGAGAAAGAACTTTTCTCAAGTGGCTGGCAACACAAAAGAAAAGAGGATTATATTATTATTAGTTGCTTATATTTCATATAATATTTTCACATAATTAGGATCTCTGTCTATCTGTAGATACTTACTTAAGAACATGTAACTAGGTCTCAAAAAGAAAATGGGTAATGAAGTGAGAGCTGAAATAAAGGCATGATGAGGGAGAAAAAAAATGAGGTAGGAGAGAATAGAAATTGATTACATCCAAATCTATTGTCAGTTTTCACAATTAATGAGGATATTTGGTGAGTGAGTGAGTCTACAAGGAGAGGGAAACAGTTGAGGTCATAAGATGTATGTTAGCTGGGAATTCATAATACAGAGAATTATCAAAGAGCTAAAATCTAACTAAATTCACACCAAATACCAAATCAATCATAGTTGTTATAACTCATTGTATAAGAATGTAAATTTTTTCCAACTAAATATGACAAATGGAACAGCCACTCTTGTGTAATGACTAGCCCACAAATGCCAGCACTGAGTGTTCTTATGACCCTTTTTTCTCCTAGAATTAGATCAGACACAATTAGATCAAACCCACGAAAAGCAGGTGTCTGGCGAGCTCTTAAAACTTAGCTTTTTACCATGTTGAATTTGTATGCACTTTCAGGATTGGATTTAGCAGAAAAGATGCAAACCTGATAATTGCACAGCTTATTTTTACACCAAGATAGACACAAGTGGGCTAGTTGGGGAACTGAACTTAGGGCATCGCACGACACATGAGAGACTATGAAATAATTCCATTCAAGTTATTCCTACTTTTTAGCTCTCTTGCTCTTACATACCTTCAGAATAATCATTTTCAGGTTGCTGTTGATTCCTCAGTTGCTGAAAAGTTTTTAAATTCCAGAACCATTCCTTTTAGACTTCTCTAGAACTGATCCTAGAACGTACTCCCCATTACTCTGTTTTTATTTGTTCGTTTTGCTTTGCTGCTCCTTTTCCGGGGAGAATGCTATAGAAAACTTACTCTTGGTAAGATAGCCTCAGTTATTAGGTGAAATGTCACAGATAAAGGTTGTGTGTATGCGTCACATACCTGTTTAGTGGCCTTGACTGCCACCTTCAACAATGAAACAAAACAGCTTTTTTTCCTATGCCATTCCTCATCTAGACTCATCTGGCTGGATGACAAAAGGAGAGGCTATTAGCAAAACATCACTTAGGAAAGGCCTATAAGGGTGTTAATTTGGGAAGGATAAAAGCTTTTTTTTTAATTTTTAGATACCTTGCCTTTCCTTTTTCACTTTCACAGTTTTTAATGAAAGTTGTATATAAAATTCCTTTATGCCTGCTCAATTATTTCTTCATTGTATTTTCCCTTTTCTTTTCCTCCTAGGTGAGATTTGGCTTTGTGTGCTGGGATTTTTTTGTGGTCTTGGTCCAAGTTTAGCCAGTGATGACCGCTTGTCTGGGTGAATGCCCACCTGGCTGGGTGTGCCATCTCCCGCTGCACTCAGCTGGTGGAGATGACATGTGTCTTCCTGTAAGCCTGCATTGCCTTGCCAATTTGCTGCCTTTTGTAGTGTCCTCGTACAACCTGACTTCATCATCCTTGAGAATGGGTATGGATGGAGTATTGTCATTTTAGCTCAGCTCTGGGAAGAGGGGAAGATGTAATCTTTCTGCAAATGTGGGAAGGTGTGCCAAAATGCCTTGACAGTGCTTACAGAAGGCGCAGAAGGACTGAACGTCATTTTGGCTGCTGGCCCTTCAGTGATGGCCGTAACAGGAGGAGGCAGATACCTCACCTTGAGGTCAGATCACTGTGCTAGCCTCCTGCTTTTACTCCCTTTCTCTCTCTGCTAGGCCCTCCAGGTTTAAACCCCCCACCAGAGAACAAAACAGAGCAGATTTAGGGCAGATGAACTAACAAGCTCCACCAGAAAAGGCGAAACTCTGAAAGTGGGAAGCAGAATAGTATAAAAGAACAATAAAAGAACAAGGCAGGGCCACCGATGTGGGTTGAAGTTGGGGAAGAAAATGTAGGTCCAAGGGGAAAGTATTTCTCTGCCAACCACAGGGTGGGAGATCTGAGTTCCCTGGAGGTGGCAGCAACAGGAAAAATCAGAAGAGTGACTGACAGAATAAAGACCAGAGGCCAGCATCCCTCTTGTGTCTTGAGAGGTTGGAATGTATGAGAAATCAGATTCCATGTGACCTGTTGAGCCATTCGTAAGCTCATAAGGTCCTTAGTCTCTACTACCCTTTTCGTTTCTGGGAAGGAAAACAGAACTGAGGTCCTCAGGGTTGAGTCATTTGTAAGTTCTTCTCATTGACTAGTAAAGGAATTACAGTAAATCCTAAATTTACGGTCTTAGATAGGTTCTTGGAAGCTGCAACTTTAAGGGAAATAACTTATAAAGAAGGCAGGTCCTTGCATAACATCATTTCCTTCAACTTTGAATTGTTTTATTCTCATCAATCTTATAATGAAATGAACAAATTGATGTTGTGTGATGACCCATTAAACTAATCAATGAGCTAAGGTCCCTCTCGAAAGAGAACAAAAGGAAAGCTCAAGACAACATCTTTGCACTGGAGGATGGTATTACTGTAACACAGAAGACAAGCGTAAGTCACATTGTGGAGTAGGAAAATCAAATACGGGTCCTCCATCTTAGGGGGGAGAGGAACATCAAGATGGGCTGTCTCCAGAGTGTCTCAAGGTAGCTCAATACCTTAAAGTGGCAGGTCAGGTGAATTTCAAACCTCCACCAGGATGGAGAAAGCATGAA